GTTACAGAGTATTTGTTAAATATAGCTAACAAAATATATATTGTGTGTTTGATTGGTCCAGACGCTACAGGGACAAACCTAAAGCCTTTTCAATACCACAGGCTGTATAAAGGTCCATCACATAGAATTTTCAAAATAGTTTTTGGAGCTTTTGTTTTCTTGAAAGTTTTTATTCAAAAGATGTTTCAGCTGAACAATCGGCATGTTGTTAAACATCAGAACAACAGTATTTGAATTATGAAACCTAAAAACAATCATTTGCCCTGCAACAAACGGCATAGAAACCCCAATTCAAATGAAATGTTGGCATGTTCAAACGTGAACTGAACTATGACGAGGATAGTCCTTAGATACTACGTCATTTCCAGTGATACCCTTCCTCAGGGACTGTTTTAGGTCCAAAAACAAGACCATTGATGCCATTTTTCCTCTGGATACAGAGAAAAGTCTAGAAGGTAATAAAATTATATGATTCATTCAACCACCAAATGATTGTTGTTCGGAGGTCAACAAACTCAAGCCTACATTACCCTACCTGTAAGTAATAACTAGTTTTAAAACATAAGTGAAATATGCCATTTCATTTGTGAAACAATCTGTTTCTGAACAAATCATTATCATTCATTTCCATCTCTCAGTCTGAATTAGAGTGTGACACAGTATGTAAACAGATCGTTATCCAGAACACCTACATTAACAACAATGTTTGCTTAGTTTGTCATGCAAGTCAATCCTGCAAAGAAGCAAAGACGGGACGGAATAATTCTGAATGTGTAAAAGTTACTGATAACCATCCAGAATTAGAGTCACCTAAAAACATTACTTAAAGGGGTAAATCACTGCTGGTGACATGACTAGAGAAAACAGAAAAAGGGATGTGACATTTCCAAAACGGTTGGAAACCTTCAACATCCATAATGCACTAGGCTTAATGTGAGCGGGATACAACATCAACGACATCAAGCGAACTTTTACTGGTAAATAAATGGGGATATCCAAGTGCAGTTAACACAGAGTAAAAGTACATCTTATTCATGTACATATACTACTACAGGCATATACTATTAAGATTGTAACAATACAAAGCTGGTTGAAAATCTGTGACTTACTCATTAAACTATTTACTTAAACTGTCATTTTGATTGTATAGTTTGATTAAACTTGTGCAGTTTAAAACCTTTGCCTTGTCCAAATACCCGCACTTGCGGTCTTTGCACTTGACCACTTGACTACTTACTTATATGACGTATTTCCTGTATTTGGTCCAAGTGTTCAAGTGAGCATGAAGACCACAAGTGTGTGTAGAACTTTTCATTACCTGATAGGACACACTTATAGTGTTGTAAAAATTCAAGTGTTTACAGAGCTTTATTTTTATTTTCAATACTTTGCATTTTAAAATCAACTTCTAAATGTCTGTTCAGTGTCTCTATAACAGATGACAATTTATTTTTGTGGTGCTTCTAATTAAGTGATAAAAAGCAGTTGCAAATGTTGCACAAAATAAATATCACCACAACTCATTTGCACCAATAAAACGTGCAACCCTTTGTTTTAGTAGCAAATTATATGTAATATCTAATTATCATTAATATTTAACATCCATTGGAAAGGTTTCTGTGACCTCTCGCGAGACCTCGGCAAAAAGTCTCACGATTTATTTCCAGAACATGATGCATGATGGGATACACTAAGCTCCGGAGTGGTATTTGAGATAGTGTGGGTTTAGTGTGCGTTAAGGGCACTGCGCTTTGGTATTTTTAAGACCTGGGACAGTCTTGCGCACGCACTTCCTGTCGCGCGCACGCGCTCTCAAGTGGCCAAGACCGCAAGTGTGGGTATTTGGACAAGACACTTGTTTCCAGTGTTGCCAATTCATTTTCAGGGGAAGTTGCTAAAGGAAGGTAAATTTGTTGCTAAAAGTTGCTAAATGACGTTGTGATGTCATTGCACGATGACATCATTACGTAATTATAATGTTAAAATATAAATAACTGTATTTTTAAATACAACATTGAATTATTGAACACTTACACGTTTTTGAACAATTAGGGCCTACTATTTTTTTTATTAGCTAGTAAACTAGTAAAACTACACATTCTGAACAATTATAGTTTTAAGCAGTGTATTAGCAGTTAGTTAGTATGCTACACTCTAAGAAAATATCTGTAAAAAATAGTATAATATTAAAATATAAATAACTGTATTTTTAAATACAACATTGAATTATTGAACACTTACACGTTTTTGAACAATTAGGGCCTACTATTTTTTTTATTAGCTAGTAAACTAGTAAAACTACACATTCTGAACAATTATAGTTTTAAGCAGTGTATTAGCAGTTAGTTAGTATGCTACACTCTAAGAAAATATCTGTAAAAAATAGGGCGCAATCGACTATGTTAATATGAAGGAATTTTCCGTATTGATTTTTCACCGGTTTTTTACCTGCATTACGCATTGTATTTTGTGTTTTCGGGTTACAGGGTTACAATGGATAATGAATAATGGATAACGGATAATGTCCTGGAAAATTACTAGTACCTTTTCCATTTTTCTAGATATTTTTCTTACAGTGTACTAACTAATCAACAATCGCAGGTACAAGCTACTAACAAGGTGTATCATAAATTAACAATTATTCAATTATTATTATTAAATTGAGCAATTGCTAATAGCAGCTAACTTAATTCATGTGATGTGTGTACTGCTAGCCATCTTTGGTTTCCTCATTTTGTGTAATTTAGATGGAAAATGTGTGCCTTTTTATCTTTAGAGTCACTTATCAAAAGTTGCTAAAAGTTGCCAAATAAATTTTTAAAATAGCTAAATTTGTTGCTAGGTGCTTTTGGAAGAAAAAGTTGCTAGGGTAGTATGAAAAGTTGCTAAATTTAGCAACAAAATTGCTAAGTTGGCAACACTGCTTGTTTCAGTCAACCAAGTGTTCTTAACGAATCGGATGAGTGAATGATTCTATGACTCGCTCAAACAGAAGACTCGTCTCCACCCACCGCCTTACCGATGCAACTTGCTGAAAGCGCCACTGAACGAGTCAGCGAGAGAATCAAAGTGAATCTTTCAGTGAATTGATTTAGAAGATTCAGTTTACTGGGATGAATCACAATTCTCTGCACTAAAGTGGCATACTTTATATTTCAAGCTTAGAAAATTGAGTGGTCTGGCAGCTGTCGCCTAGTAAAATAGATAATTGAAACTGTATTAGTACCAGAAACAGTTAACTGCCTTCACAGTAGCAAAGTAACTCTCCATAAAAAGTCAGTTTGGTAGATAAATAGCAGTATAGTAGCAAAGCATAAATAGCAGTGCGCGATACAAATAGGCTTTTTTGGAGTCACTGGGAGGGACGTTTGACCTTCATTTGGGCGTTTGGTGATTTGTTTTCTGCTTATAATAAAGACACGCAACACTTAGGCAACGTTAGGTGGGTGAGAGAGAGCTTCATTGTGGGCTAGATCCAAACCACTGGCGACTTGACAAAAATGTTTCTCCAACGGTCTTGTCTAGATTACAGACATGCAGACAGTATGTTGCACAGTCGTTTGATGCGCAATTTATGTAATCTTGATAAGTACTGCGGTTCAGCAGAGAGAAAGAGTGAGGATGTTGATGCTTTATGTAAAATTACAGTGAAAACAAGACGCTTGATTGTTCAAAAAAGTTGTCCAGGTGATCCCGCATCATACAGTATTATAATACGGAAGTTGTAAACCATGCCGATGCAAACTTGACCATTAAAATAATGGGCAATTGGATAAAAATCAACAGAATAACACTCTCTTTGAATTAAAGCATTTGCATTCATTGAAATTAATAGCTTTCTTGTAACACACTGAGCATCACGTTTCAGGAGAACGCCTGAAGAAAACGCATTAATACTTACACCCATATCTAGGTCGGAAACCGTCTGTCTCGTCCGAAGTTGACATGTCTTCTCAAAAAGTTTACAAGTCCTATTTCCCTTGTGAGCTCTCGATGCAGATCTGAGTCCTTTAGGATTTATATTTAGACCTCGAGAAGGCACCTCTGGCCCCCTTCTTACTTTGCTGCACAGTTTCAGCGACTTATTTTCTTGAAAACCCACTGATGTCATAGGCGTGTTCTTTCCTAAATCCTGAAGTATGCGTTTCAGGAAACACCCATTTCAAGAATATCAGTTCAAAACTTTTAACTGTGACTGCAGCGCCCTCTACTGCCCACATTGCTCATAGTCTGCCACAGCACTTTGTGATTCTCCAGCAGAGGGCCTCAGCAAACTTCCAAGGGGCCTGGGATAACTAAGAATTTTTCTTTTATAATATAATATTTGTATTTTAAATAAGTTTGATTAAAAATAATTTAACTTAATAAAATAAACATGTACAGAATATTATATTTAAATTTAAGTTGTCGTTTTATTTAATTTAAAATGTAATTAAATGTATGCATTTAGCAGACGCTTTTATCCAAAGCGACTTACAGTGCATGCAAACAAATATAAAACACGAGGAAATGTCTTTGCTAATCGAGGAGCTACAGAACTGGTCCACACGGATGCAACTTACAACAAAAATAACAATTTAATTTCCTATTGTTTCAAACTTTATTTATACGCTCATACTTTTATGATAATTTTGATCAGTTCACTGTGTTCACTAGTTCACTGTGTGGTTAAATGGTTATAAATTGTTATTTATCTCTCTCTATATATAGCCTAACTCTCTCTCTCTCTTTCTCTCTCTCTCTCGCTCTCTCTCTCTCTATTCCACGAGTCTTCTCAAATAAAATAAGAAAGCTCATACAAACGGCAGAAATAATAATAATAATAAAAGTAGCCTATAAAAAGCTGGTTTGTTTCAGAAGCTACACAGCAGGATGAAGGCTGTGAAATTCCAAAAAGGATTTAATGTCAACACAAATAGCCTATATAGGCCTACCTAACGATCTGGCACCAGTGTGAGCTTCTTTTAACTTCAATAAATAAATCACGATATTGTATCAGATGAATCTAGGGGTATGTCTTGTCAATATTGGCTAAATGTCAATATGAGAATATTGCTTCTTTTTTTTCTTATATAAAACATGAAATATTATTTTGCTTTGCACTATTCTATTCTATTCTATTCTATTATTAGTACTACATCTACAGCTGCAGTATGCCGTCAAAGGTAGGCTATGAGAGCAGGCAGGAGAATTACCTATTGAACATGCAATAAACTGCTTGTTTGTGCTCCAATCTCAGCGTCAGCAAAATAAATATCCTTTGACCAATAGCTGACCTAATATAATCCGTTAACCGTAGTCAGGGCGGGGCATATCAGTTTATAAAATAGCCAGTGAACTGTTAAGTAGCCCGTGTTTACTAAGTTACCCAACCCTCCACAGCTCAGTGTGCTGTGACTGTGACCCGGCCCGGGCAGCTGACTGGACTCAGGAGTCAGGACCATGACGAGCTCAGAGATACTGACCATAGTCGTGCTCTTTACCGTCCTGTGCTCCGGACAAACATCCCAGGAACTCACAGACACACAACTGTCCCAGCAGGAAATGGAGAACGAATTGGTGAGTAGGTAAAACGTCTTTTTATAGCTATTTGTTTGTTTTTCTTTGTAGCGTATTTTTATATAGTGAAACGTGTGGTCAGTTATTATCTGTGAACCAAAGACTGAATAATTGGTTGGTGAAAATTTTGTTTTTTTCATATATTTTCATTCATATCTCATTCGGTTGCTTATGGTTTTTACATAGGTTGAGGCTATGACAGCACTTTTGGGAAGATATCAGCCTCATTTACCATCTTCAGAAAAACGTGGCATTCCACAGGTACATTTTGCTCCATCTCCTTGTTATCTTCATGGTTTTCATATTAGAAGTTATTAAAAGTTTCCTTCAAAACAAACTTGATTATGATCTTCACATCTGATCATTCTTTCTCTCTCTCTTCAGTGTGCTGTGGGCTCCCGCTGCGCCATGAGACTGGGTCCACGCTTTGGGAAATTGTGTGAATGTGTCAGAGGATCTAACTGTAACTCATTTCTCCTAAAATGCATCTGAGTCATTAAAAAAGCAGCAAATCCATAATCCTTTCTTGAAGCTGTAAAGTCATGCACCTGAAAGAGGCAGCACATGGAAATTTGTTTTCTGAATCACTTGTACAAGGTCTTTGACAAGCATTCATCAAAACGCAGCATGACAAGCAATAGCATAGCATGAGTTTAATGTGTTTATTCATTTATATTTTTAATGGTTGTCTTGTGTTATCAATAAACATGGTTATTATTCAGCACATTTTATTGTCTTCATGAATTATGCATGTTTAATCCACCCTTAACAAAAAACTTTAAGACTATATTTACTAAAAGACAAAAATGTCCAATTCTGAAATAGCTTAGTAGTTTCTGGTGGAAAATATCATATTTTAAAAAAATAATAATAAGTTTCAGCAAATATTCAAACTGAACATCTGTCACAAGCAGCTGGATTACAAATTGAGGATGAAAATAGATGGTACTTTTCCTCCATAGTGACTCTTACCCACATATATATTAGAGAGATGTACTACAAACTAGATATTGTTTTAGTTTTTAGTGGTTATGTGAGTTCCAGCACACTGAAACCTTTTACACCAATTAATTACAATACCAGATACACCACTCTATTATGACAATATTCATATATGTGACCCTGTCTGTGAAATCCAGGCTAAAGTCTCAAAACCTAATTATGAAATAACAAGCATCAAAGTTTGATTTAAACCATTAATTTCACTATGATTTCAATCTTTGACATGGCCTTAGTCAATATTAAAGATATAAAGGTTATATTTTCACAGAATGTTCTACATCTTTATGAAGGATGATTTTATGTAGAAAACAGTAAATCACAAAAAAATGATTTTAGCTGGGTTTTTGCAGGCAGGGTCACATATATGTATAGCCAACAATACATTGTATGGGTCAAAATTATAATTTTTCTTTTATGCCAAAAATCATTATGATATTAAGTAAAAATCATGTTCCATGAAGTTATTTTGCAAATTTCCTACCATAAATATATCAAAAATTTATTATCATTAGTAATATGCGTTGCTAAGGACTTCGTTTGGGCAACTTTAAAGGCGATTTTCTCAATATTTATTTATTTTTTATTTTTTTTGCACCCTCAGTTTCAAGATATTCAAATAGTTGTTTCTCTGCCAAATATTGTCCTATCCTAACAAACCATACATCGATGTAAAGCTTATTTATTCAGCTTTCAGATGATGTATACATCTCAATTTCGAAAAATTGACCCTTATGACATGGTTTTGTGGTCCAGGGTCACATATATAAACCACTAATTCCTAGTATGGGTCACCATACTTGGCCACATGTCACTTCACTCACTTCACTCACTTCACTCACTCATATATATATATATATATATATATATATATGGCCACAGAGGTGTTTCTCTTCAGGGGTGGGGCTATACAAATTGGCAGGCCAAATGCATTATGGGCAATGTAATTTGGATTCTCACTGTGAGCTAGACTGGAACATGCAACCCAATGCAATAATTTAGTCTACAGAAAATGAGAAGTATAAAGTGCAGAATTGCAAAATGTGAATCACTGGCTACAGATGCCCATCAGATGTTTAAAATCAATGAACTAGAAAATTACTAATTTAAAGACCCCGTATTTTCATTGCCTTTAGGAGTAATAGTGATGGTATTCGTGAATGCTTTCTGCCAAGATAATAAAATGATGTTAGTACAGTGCAGTGTTCACAGAATTTCAGTTCATGAGGGCATCCAGGCCTTAATGTTTGTGTTTAATCTCTCTTGATTAAAGTCAATCATGGTAAAACCCAGGGGTTCAATATAGTTACTCGGTGCGATTTAGGCCCTGTCCCAATTGATCTAGAGAAACAACAATGCCCACGGTACCATAAAAGCATATTTTTAGGCAGGTATAACATTCCAGATATAAGATGGTATACCATCTGAGACTTTCCTATTTCTTACATCATCCTGCTGAAATATACAAAATAAGTTTTCTCTGCTGACACCTGTCACAATTAAGCTCAGAATACAACATGTTAAATGTGGTGCTTGGGGATATTCGAGCAAACAAACAGTAATACTTTAAAAATTCAATAAATAAACCAAATATAGTTGTTATGACTCACTGTGAAACTGAAAGTAAAATGGTCTACCTTTATTTGAACCTTTTTTAGGCACTTTGTGCTGATGAATGGTTAAAGATTTTAAGCTATTCATCAATGCTGGATGTTGTCATTTATGCATGACTTGCATGAGGCTCTGTAACAAGACTACAGCGTGAATGTTTCCCTGGAGAAAGCGCACAGTCAATATATTGGTAGTTGAGAGTGGCAACTTTCTGCTCCATTTCTTGAAATCGGTCAGTTTACTGTCCCCTCAAGATACAGTGGTGCATTAGGTGTCCGTTATACACACAGACTCTGACACTTTAATGATCCCTAAATAAATATGTTTAACCTGTTGGTCATGAGTCAAACCACTGAATTATTAATTGTCCAAGTGTTTCACTGAATGATATTACGGTGTAATACACTCTCTACACAGTTTTCATGCCTGTAAAGGATTTTTTTTCCAGGACTTGACATTAATATATGCTTTTGATATATTTAAAGGTATGTTTTATTCACTGAACAATGATGGCTGTTGTGCCCAAAAATCTTACTTTGAAAATTCATTTTATTAATTTACAGTACATTTAAAGTTTGATTGCACAGTATAAGACATTTAAGATAAACAGTGAGACTTGATTTGATTTACTCTGACATGCTAATTACGTTGTTTAACCCATAATGACCAGGGTGATTACTTGTTTTTAGCATGTTTGTGGCTCATAACATTTCTGGCAATCTGATTAAACGCTCCGAGCAATACAGTTAATGCCTTTCGAGAGGCATGTTTGCAATATGTTATTAAAAGTAATTAAAATATTTAGCCATTTTTTCATCACTTTATTATGACAGACACTTCAGTGTTGGAAAATGTCTGTAATATTATTAAACCACCTGTGAGCTGGTGTTATGATTGGGCAAAGAGCAGGCAAGGGAGCGGATCCAAATGCAGCAGTTTATTCAAAGGGTAATCCAAGAACAC